TTGTGGCACTGCAGGAGGCCCAGGATGGACATGTCGTCTGAGGAATGGGAGGGGGAGTTGAAATGGTTCGCAACTGGGAGGTGCAGTTGTTTGTTGCGAACCGAGCGTAGGTGTTCTGCAAAGCGGTCCCTGAGCCTCCGCTTGGTTTCCCCAATGTAGAGGAAGCCACACCGGGTACAGCGGATGCAGTATACCACATTGGCAGATGTGCAGGTGAACATCTGCTTGATGTGGAAAGTCTTCTTGGGGCCTGGGATGGGGGTGAGGGGGGAAGTGTAGGGGCAGGTGTAGCACTTCCTGCGGTTGCAGGGAAAAGTGCCGGGTGTGGTGGAGCTGGAGGGGAGTGTGGAGCGGACAAGGGAGTCACGGAGAGAGTGGTCCCTCCGGAAAGCAGATAAGGGTGGGGAGGGAAAGATGAATTGTTTTTGGTTCAAATTTGGAACTTCTAATGCAGGAGAGAAGAGCCTTGTTCAATTTGAACACCAAATATCGGCATCGAGGGCTTCCAGTAAAATACTACACGTGCTTTACCCACAACAGCACAGCAACCTCAGCCAGTGCATTGTCTGATATTGACAGTGGGCTGAATGGCCTACTTCTGCACCTAAGTCTTACGGCCTCATAAGGTCAAACAAGATGCTATAAAATTGTATATACTTCTTTCTCTGTTGCATGAAAGAAAATGCTCAAAGACCACTGCAGAGTTCCTAAACAATCAGGTTAAAAATATATAAACAAGCAACTTCAATGTTTGAATTCATTATTATGTACCAAAGACATAGATTGTTACAGAACGTGCACGTATAGCTCCTACACAGGAGCAGAAATAAAAACTAAAAGTAAAACTTTGACTATTGGAGCTGCCTTCAGAAGGAACCGAGTGGAATCTGAACACCCTGATTAACGTGGATCCCTGACAGCCCACAGGCACTAGGGTTAATTACGCTGGCCGTCTAGGCTGGACTGAAACCCTCATTCAAGTTAGCATGGGCATCTGTTCAGTCTGAAGACACATAAAGGTGCAAATGAGTACTTTCAGCACCTAAATCTGTTGCCTGTACCTTCTAAACTTTGAAATGGTAATAACTGCTCAGGGCTCGCAGCGATGATTACTAGTATAGATTATTAATTCCACATTGCCAATTACTGTTTTTGTTTTCTCTCAGGTTTTTAGGGTATTAGACTGCTTTGTTAATCTCCTTCAGTTGCAGAGAGTGTGTACTGCTTTAGTGTCATTTAGAGTTGGAGGCAGGCTGACCAGGAAACTCTTTGCACTGTGCCTCCCTGACTCTGACATGTTTGTTTATTTTGTAGGTAAAAGCTACAGGTCAGGATCTCTACAATCAAGTCTGTGATATGCTGAAGATCAGGGAGGGTCACTTCTTTGGTCTGAGTGTGGTGCAAAGTAAGATGTGATTCAATATTCTCCAATTTTGTTTGTAAGAAAATAAGAGGGTCTCCAGAGAGTGAAATGGCCAAAGGATGATTCCGATCTATTCTTTGTTTTATTTTGTTTATTTATGGTAGCATTAGATAATTATTTGCTCAGTTTGTCTGTAGCGTTTATGATTGGTCTAAACATTTATTTTTCTATGGGTTTTACTTATTAAAAACATAGTCGGATTCCAGTATTTCCCATTGGGGGTTAGAAATAACTGTACAGAGGCCAATATCCTGTAACCAAGTTACCGTTTATTTACATGTGCACTGGCTACGACCAGGCAGCTTGGAGTCAGGAGACTCACTGAATATAAAATCTGTCAGCCAGGGCTCCCTGATTGGCCCAGTTTATCAACCCTAATCAAGGATCTCATAGTCAATAAGATCCACCTGGTTCCAATCACTACAATGTTTATAACTGTACGATAATGACTGAGTTCAAATACTTGAAAACTTATAAAATAGTAACAGGAGTAGATCATTCAAAATGTAGAGCCTGCTCTGCTAAAATAATACAAAAAACTACAGATGCTGGCGATCTGAAACAAAACCAGAAATTGCTGGAAAAACTCAGCAGGTCTGGCATCATCTGTGGAAGAGAGCACAGATAACATTTCGAGTCCAGTGACTCTTCATCAGAACTGTTAACAGCCAGAAAAAGTGATATTTACAGTGAAGACTATGTTGGGGAATGCAACAGATGGAGATGGAGCTCACAGAGAGAGAGATATGAAAGGGAATTGTTGATAGTAGGCCAGGTGAGAAGAGAAGCTTAGTAAGTGATAATAAGGTTTAGAATTGGAGAGACTGGGAGATCTGTACTGAAAGCAACCCATGTAATGTGATAATAGATCGAAGAGCTTGTGAGAAGGGGTGACTGTTAAAAGCAACCCATGTCATAACAAGACCAGATGTGGGGTGGCTGAAAAAAACCTGGAATGATGGAATCAGGCTCTAAAGTTATTGAAAACTTGATATTGAGTCCTAGAGGCTGCAGGGTCCCCAAGTGGAAAATGAGATGTTGTTCTTCAAGCTTGTGCTGAGGTTCACTGGAACACTGCAACAGGCCTGTGGCAGTAATTCTGGCATGGGAACATGGTGGTGCATTGAAGTGGCAGGCAACTGGAAGCTTAGGGTCATTCTTGCAGATAGAACGTGGGTGTTCTACAAAGCAGTCACCCAGCCCGCTTTTTGTCTCTCCAGCGTCGAGGAGATCACACTGTGAACAGCGAATGAAGGGTATCTATCTGTGTGGAGTTGGCATAATCTCCCCATGTCTGCGTGGGTTTCCTCCCAAAGTCCAAAGATGTGCAGGCTACGTGGATTAGCCATGCGAAACACAAGGTTACAGAGATGGGGGTAGGGTCTGCTTAGGATGCTCTTCAGAGGGTCGATGTGGACTTGATGGGCCGAATGGCCTGCTTCCACATTGAAGGATTCTATGAAGTACAAGTAAATTGCTGCTCTATTTGGAAGGTATGTCTGGGGCCTTGGAGAGTGGAGGATATATGTGCAGATGTTACACCTTCTGCAATCGCACGGAAAGATGCTGTGGGGGTGTGAGGAGGTGTTGGAAATGGAGGAGCAGTGGGCCAGGGTGTCCTGGAGGGAACAGTTATTGCAAAATGCTGCCAAGGGAGAGGAGGGCAATATGTGTCTTGTCGTGGCATCCCATTGGAGGTGCCATATAATCCATTAGATGCAAAGGCTGATGGGGTGGTAAGTGAGGACCTGGGGATCCTATCATTGGTGTGGAAGGGAAGGGAAGAGGTGAGGGTAAAAGAGTGGGAGATGAGTCAAACATTGACTAAAGGGCCCTGTCGACCACACAGTAGTGGGGAATCCTTTTTTGTTTGAGGAAGAAGGTGGACGTTTCTGAGGCCTCCCTGCTGAAGGTGGCGCCGTTATAACTGATAAGACAGAAGCGGAGAAACCCACCCCCCCACATTTGGTCTTGTTATGACATGGGCTGTTTTTAGCACAGTCACCCATTCTCTCAACTCCTTGGCCTATTATCAAGGGGTGGGGGCGGAGGGGGGCTCCCTTGGCTGGAACGTGTAATTAAGGTATAGATCAGCCGATATCTTGTGAAATGGTGCGGTAGGTGTGAGGGGCTGAATTTAAAGTTCCCAAAACAATCTAACTTTAAAGCCTATGTGATATGATTCAGGGAAATGTATAACTATAAATTTGACCGTTTTTGGGCCTTTTGCTGGGGTGTACAGTACCACAAACGTGGCTCCTTCCAGGACATAGTTTGAGTTGCCTTTCTGCGTTTTGCAGTTTGCTTGTTTGGGACATTACAGCCAGTCCAGATCTCGACTTCGCCAAAAACTTCAGTAGGGATCTGTCTTATTCAGCAACCAGTGACAAGATCTCGGGTTGTTTTGTAATGCTGTTTAACTCACAAATACTGAGACCTATTCCCTTTGCAGTTACAATCTGGTACTCAGCACAAAGCAGGAACTGAACTGGGATCTATTTAGGCTATAGGACATGTTCATTGTGTCAACTGAAGTTACATTCGTGCAGGGGAAGGCCATTGATTGGTTTATTACTTGAACACATAGAGTGACAACTGTTGTGGTGCAGTGGTAGTGTCCCTGTCCCTGAGCAAGGGTTCAAGTCCCACCTGTTCCAGAGGTGTGTTATTACAGGCTGATTTTAAAATATCTGTATTAAAAAGGAGTCCTGCACAGTAAGGCAGTGTTGCAAAAAAAGCTTGAGCACATGTCAAGAGACAGTTGTGACAAGAATTGGGTAGAGTCAGGAGAAATATACCTGCAGCCTTACATTCTGTTGGGAAAAAATGTATTCCAAATAAAGGCTTTTCCTTCCACATCTGGTTTTCAGGAGTATAACAGAACACAGCCACAGGTTCTGTTAACCAGGACAGGAGCTATAGGCAAATTGCTTCTTTTGGGTCTGCATTACTTATTGGGTCAGGTTAGATAAGAGGAGTGGATGGAATGTTGGCACAGTAGCTAGCGCTGCTGCCTTACAGTGCTGGGGACCCAGGTTCGATTCCAGCCTTGGGCAGTTGCCTGGGTGGAATTTGCATGTTTTTTCCCGTGTCTGCATGGGTTTCCTCCCACAGTCCAAAGATGTGTAGGTTAGGTGGACTGGTCATGGGAATTGCAGGATTACAGGGATAGGGTAGGCAGTGGGCCTGGGTTGGTTGCCGTTTGAAGGGTCAGTGTAGACTTGATGGACCGAATGGCCCGCTTCCACACTAGAGATTCTGTGACTCTGGGGAAAGAAAGAGACAACATTTTGAATTTGAGTCTTGTTGCACTAGGGAAGTGGAATTCGCAAAGCACTGTGACAACTTAGTATCTGTCTATCAGAGACTGCTTAACAACTTCAGATATAATGTTACTGAGGCTGTAATTTTAAATTCTTTAAAGCTAAACAAGATGCACGGCTATTATTAAAATAAATTATTCTCTTCTGTCACAACACATCACAAGTATGAAGCTCAGTGATATGTTCATTAAGTCTGGAATGTAGATAGCGTTCCTTTAATCGGAGGAGACTTCTTGTACCTTTTAATTTTGGTGATCTACCTTCTCCTGGCGGTGATAACTCTTTGTAGAATATGGGTCAATGAGCTATGTCATCCTTTTGATCTCCCAGTCAAAAGGCCATGCTATATATGTAAACCTAAGTATTCAATCATAAGGCCCTCTAGATCAGTGTGACAACCACATCAGGCATTTCCAGTGTGTTCCATGAATTTTTCTCATTCAGCCTTCTTTTTATCTTCTGGGGTGTTCCCATTTAAAATTACCGACAGCAAAGCTTTGGTTTTAAGCTAGATCAAAGGTTACTTTATTACCAAGTAACGATGAAAGTTGCTAAGATTTTTAAAAAGAAAAGTACAATGATTAACTAAAGTACAGGTACAAATATTAAAAAGTTAAAAAGGCAGCCCGACTTGTGGGTATTTTAAGGATTAACACTTGGGTCCAACTATCAATGTCAGTGATTTTGGATTCAGGGACCAAGTGTAGTACTGTACTTCCAAATTTGTGGATAATGAGTGGAGGTGTATATCGTGAGGAAGAGGTAAGGCAGCTTCGGGAGAGTTTGAACAAGCTTAGTGAATGGGTAAGAACATGGCAGATGGAATATAATGTGGAGAAATGTGAGGTTTGATAGAAGTATCAGATGAGCAGGGTATTCCTCAACGGTAAGAGACTGGAAAGTGTAGATGCACAAAGGGACCTAGGTGTCTTTGTCGATAAGCCATGGAAGGCTAACATGCAAGTGCATCAAGCTATTAGGAAGGCTAATAGAATGTTAGCCTTTATCACAAAAGGGTTTGAATCTAGGAGTAGTGAAGTCTAACTTCAATTGTATAGGAGCTTCGTTAGACTGCACCTGGAGTAATGTGTGCAATTTTAGTCCCGCTATCTACAAAAAGAATCTATTGCCATAGACGGAGTGCAGTGAAGGTTTCACCAGACATGTTCCTGGGAAGGCGAGACTGTCCTGTGAAGAGAGATTGGATAAACTGGGTGTGTATTCTCCAGTGTTTCAAAGAATGAGGTGTTATTTTATCATACTTAAATGGATTGTCAGGATAGATGCAGGTAAGATGTTTCCCTTGGTTCGAAACAAGGTGTACAATTTAAAAATTAGGGGAATGCCACTTAGGTCTGAGATGAGGAGAAGCCTTTTTACTCAGACAGTTGTGAACCTTTGGAATTCTGTACCACAGACAGCTGTGGAAGCCGAGCCTTTGAATGTGTTTAAGGTAAGAGACTAATAGATTTCTGATTCCCAGTGGTTTACAGGGTTATGGGGATGGGGTCGGTAAAAGGCATTGAAATGTTAAATCAGCCAAGACAGTATTGAATGGTGTGACAGGTTCAGTGGGCTGAATGGCCTACTCCTGTTGTTGTATTCCTATATTGGGACAGATAAAAGATCTTATATAAAGAGAAAAATAAGATCAGTCTGCTACTGTTGCAAGCCTTTACTTGCTTGAAGATTTCCCTTTCTGAGGTGAACTTGTAGTCAGGTTCAGAGATGTGATGGTTTCTGTAGTTGAGTGGTTAGAGATTTTGTGTACAGGTGGACTCAGTAAATACAGCAGGCTTTAACAGAGAGAGAGAAAGCGAGAGAGAGGGGAGGTTTCTTGTTCTTCATTGGTTGTGTGGTTGTGGCATTTTGTTCATCTGTGCTTTTCTGGCAGAGCAGCAGTTGATTTATGATTGCCTTTCTCCTTATCATCCCTATGTCTGAGAACTCTTTCTGAGGATGTTTTTCACTTTTCTTTCCTGGGAAGTTCTGACAAAATGGTATCACCTCCTGTATTATCACAACCAAAGCAATATGGTTGCTATATTAACTTTGGTCAATCATTATTCCATAAAGCAAGGCCAATTATGCTGGAATTCTCTCTGCTGTCCTTCCAGTCTGCTCTCTCTGTGTCTCTTTGCTCGCAGAAGCTTTGAATTCTCACATTATCGAATTCATTTGAATTCTAAACATATCACTTTGTGGTTGATTCTGAGCTAAAGCATTAGCCTGCCTGTGTATTTTTTTTCTGCTGTATTGAATCAAAAAGAACAGTCATGTGACTTCTAGGAACCACTTTTCAGAGTTATGTCCATTTTAGCCACCTTTATGAAATACATAATTTTATAATTACACAGTCTAATTCCAACCTTGTGTTACATTATTGCGTGCTCCCTTTCAGGGTAAGGATCAGGAGATGGTGATGGGAACAGGAGCACTGACTGATATTTTTAAATGTCCCCTCCTTTTTCTAACCTCTTACTCCAGCTTAACTAATTCCAGCACCCTGTACTGCCTTAGATACAACCCAAGACTTCAGCCTTAGTTGAGATCGGCTGACTAAAGTAGTAATCAAACCTGAGACCATCTTTGTCCCCTGTGGATCAGGTGCTTTAATAAGTTTGAGCTTTCACGGATTAATGGTAAAGCAATTCAAAGTGCTGAATGTGCTGTCAGTTTACTTGTTAAATATTTGTAACAACAGCAACTAGAGGAATGGTGATAAGAGTAATACAGAGTGACGTGATGGGATGGAATAAAAGTCAGTGTGACTCTAGCTTTTCTGTCAGTGTTCATGGGAAGTGAAAGCTTCATGCTCTCAAATGCATGAATTGGGATTTACCTGCTCAAATTTATTGGTCTTTCAGCGAATTTTAGTCCTGAAGGATGGAATTTGGTGGAAAATTCTGTGCTGTGTTAGACTGCTCCGTTTGAATCCAGTCCAGTGCAGTCCAGTGCAGGGCAATGGGCAGCAAGACTCTGCCACTGGCCCCTGTCCATCGTGATCTCTGCACCAGCCCAGTTGGTGACCTGCTTTTGAAACTGCCCCTTCATTCCCAGACATTCCTTTCCCATCCGGTGGCGTCCATTCTGCTGCCACTCTGAGATAGTAAGAACTGCCAATGCTGGAGTCTGAGATAACACAGCGTGGAGCTGGAGGAACACGGCAGGCCGGGCTGGAGGGTCCCGACCCGAAACGTCGGCTTTCCTGCTCCTCTGATGCTGCCCGGCCTGCTGTGTTCCTCCAGCTCCACACTGTGTTATCTCAGCTGCCACTCTGGCAGGGTGCTTGTCCTGCTCGTTATGGACATCTCTGTGTCACTCCTAAGAAGAGGGTTGAGGAGAAATCTTTCCACTCTGCAAGTGATGGGAGCCTGAAATTTCCTGCCTGAAAGGGTGGTGGGCTCAGAAACTCTCAGAGCATTTAAGCAGTATTTAGATATTCATTTGCATTGCCTTAGGCTTCAGGGCTGTGGACCAAAAGCTTGAAAGTGGAGTTAGTGTGCCCAGATCTTTGTTGACTGGCACAGACATGGTGGGCTAAATGGTCTCTCTTTCTGTGCTGTAAAAATCAGTGATGTTGTATAGGTCCTTCTGAATGGCCTGTGTTGTACTTCTTTGCATGAATTTAATTTGACAAAAATTAATATTTGCAATTGCACAAATTCTATTTTTTTTCAATTGCACAAATTCTATGTTTTTTGAAGTGCTTACTGACTAACAGTTGCTGGTCATTCAGTTCACTTGCAGTGAAAGTCTGGAAATTGCTTCTCTCCCTGGATAAAATAGATTGACTTTTCAAAGTGATTGTGGATTTAGAATTCTGAATAGTTGGAAGAGAGCTTGTGTATCTGTATTCAAGTCAGAAGTGTGCTCAATTGTACATTTTTGTGTTTTCCCGTGAACCACGCTCTCCAATTCTGACTGCTTTTCTCAACTGTTTATGAATCTCCCTCGGGCTATAGGATAACCAGCTGAAAGCTCTGTGTCATCAGGAAAGTGATGTGTAAAAGAAACTCCTGTTGACAGATGATGCTCAAGGCTAGAAAACAAAAGCAGAAGACATGCTGCAAAATAGTCTTTTAGGGAATCCTGTTACAAGGCCAGGATGTAATTGCATTAGCTCGACAGTCTCTGGAAAAAGTTCCGGAGAAAAATGAGATGTATACTTGTCTGTTGAGATTCTCCAGGATTTGTTATTAATCTGTGAAGCAGCCAAAATGGTGACAGCTAACTTTGTATGCATTTTTTTGCTAAGAGGATAATTTAAGATTTGGTGATTAATATCAGTGGAATGGAAAGTATGCAAAAAAAAGTGTGACAATTATGTTACAGTTCAAAGTATTTAGTTTTTAATGCTAACTAGTGAATGTTCAATTGACCATTAAATACTTAAAGAAGTATTGCTGGGCTTAATCAGAAATGACTAAGGGTAATGGAAGTTGATGTAGTTAAGTGAGGATGTAAAGAGTTGTACTATTAGGATTAAGAAGAATGTTTTCAACAGACCAGAGGAAACTACTTGGCAGAAGGACTGAGTAAAGGTTAAGCAGTGACTGGTTTAGAGAAATAGCTTATGGGTGACAACTGAGTGTGGCGCACATTTTGAGTGACAGGGAAGGGCTTTTTCTTTCTTCCCCCTGTTTGCCTTTGACAATAGACAGTTCCACAGGGGCTGCCGATGGCTGTTTGCTACGCTGGCCGCCAATACCTTGGAGAAAGGGTAAAATTGCAAATTCCATGCCTTCCCCAATTCACTACTGCTGCCACAGTCACTCATTCTCCTGTATAGGAGCTAGGCCAAGGGTATTCAGTTGCAGAAAGCATTCCAGCCAAGGTGGATTTATTGAGCATTTTAACACCCCTGTTATTTACAAAGTGACCTCTGCATTTTTTGTTCACATTGGAACACTACGCTGCACAGTGATTTAGGCTGCACTGCCCTTCACTCTTTCTGAGTAACCAGAGTGTTTACTTTCATATTTTTAGACAATGAACATGTTTTCATGGACTTGGAACAGAAACTCACTAAATATTTCCCCAAGGAATGGAAGAAAGAAATGAGCAAAGTAAGCTTTATTATTATTTGGCAATGGTGACTTGTGACTGTATTTCAATTACTATGTTGGCCTGATTTGTGGATTTTTGTGTGTTTTGTTTTGTAACTGAAATGGTTTATATTAAAATACTGTCACTAGGCACTTTTCTTAAAAAAAATTGAGAACTCGATGGCATAATAATTTTGTGTATCTGTGTTTGAACAGTACTTAGTCACAAAAGACCACAGATATTGTTGTCACATTAGAGGGTGACAATTGATCACATAGCTTGAGGGGCCCAATTCCACATTAAGCATGGGGTAATGTTCCTGGAGCAGGACCTCCCTGTAAACCAGTGCAGTTGGTACATGCTTTTTTGATTTGATTTATTATTATCACATGTACCTAGATACGGTGAAAAGTTTTGTTACTGCGTCCAGTATAGACAGATCATACCATACAAAGTGCATAAGGATAATAGAACAGAGCGAGGAATGCAATACTACAGCTGCGGAGAAGGTGCACAAAGAGTGAGATAAACTTAAATTTAAAATTTGAGGTCCATTCAGAAGTCTGATAACAGCCAGGAATAAGCTGTTCTTAAATCTGTTGGTACGTGTGTTTAAGTTTTACATCTTCTGCCTGATGGAAGAGATTGGAAGAGATTATAAGCTAACTGACCCCAACTGCACATTTTGGACTAGAATCAAATTTGCAAGACTGAGGGTATAACATGCAGTGCAATTGGGTACTTCAGTTGAATCTTAATACTTGTTGCTTCAACATGCATCTTTAATCACCTTCTGTAGTCCTGCTTTTGAGACTTAATCTCCAAATGTGATATGTTTTGTTAATGGTAAAAGTGCTTAATAAATGCAAGTGATGGTAGCTGAGAATGTTGCTACAAATCAAACCAGGTATATAAAAGTAGAGAACATAAACAGAAGTGAACAGATGTAAAGCTGTGTAATTATGTGAAACAGCCCCCCTTCCCCCACCCCACCCCTACCGCTGTGGGTTAGGTTAAAATTCGAGCTTTAATCTTGGCAGAAATCTATTAGAATGTTCCAGTGACGCTGCCTCTTTCTTTGTTCCCCTTTTCCTTTTTTAATAGAACAATGAAAAGTTTGGTGCTCCATTCGTGGTTTGCTTCAGGGTTCAGTATTACGTTGAAAATGGAAAAGTAATGAGGTACAGAGTTCCTGTTATGTTGTTGAATTTGAAAACAAAGTGAGTGCATCTATTCTGTGACTATTTCCACGGAACACTTTCCATGTTCAAACCTTAATAACAAAATAATTGCTGTATAATTATTTTCCTATGAAACTGAAGAGTGTTGGTAATAAATATGCATTTGGGTATTGCTGAAAAAAGATACAGGCAGTACAAAAATTTGTGGCAAAATATATCAGGAAAATTTGTAATAAGTACCAAAAATGGGGTAAACCAACATTTATATTGACAATCAATTGAGGAAGATTAGCCAGGGTTGCACCAGCGCACTTGTGCTTACTGGAAGCTACATGTATTAACATTCAGGGCCCTGATCTTTGCACACTGAAAAATAAACATCCGCCTGGTCAATCCACCTGGTTTGAATTCTAAACAAAGCCTGGCAGTTGACTGTCAATCATCATTAAATGCTGCATTCTTCATGGCAATGCCTCTGTCAATCAGAATCCACTTGCCAACCAATCAGCACTCTTGTACAATAAAAAAAAGTTGTTAGAATTATAGAATCATAGCATTTTACAGCACTGAATTTGTTAGGTGCGTCCAGGATGGTTTTTTTTTAAACAATATGTAAATAGTCTGACTAGGGATTGGACCACGCTAAACTGGTATTGGGGAATGATCCCAGCAAGTGGTCGAAGTTTAAGCATTTCAGGAACAGTAACCGTAATTCTATAAGTTTTATGTTACTTATGGAAAAGGATAAGAGTAGTCCTTGAGTGAAATCACTGAATTGGGGGAAGGCTAAATACCACAATATTGGGCAAGAACTGGGGAATATAGATTGGGGACAGCTATGTGAGGGGAAATCCACATCTTCATGTGGGATTCTTTTAAAGACCAGGTGATTAGAGTTCAGGACCAGCGTGTTGCTGTGAAAATGAAGGACAGGGGTGGCAAGATTGGGGAACCTTGGATGCGAAGAGAAATTAAGAGCTTAGTCAAAAAGAAAAAGGATTTAGGAAAATTAGACAGATAGAGCCCTCAAAGAATATGAAAAAAGCAGGAAATAACTTAAACAAGGAGTTAGGAGGACTAAAAGGGGCCAAGAAATGTCCTTGGAAAACAGGATTAAGGAAAATTCCAACATGTTTTATACATGTATAAAGAACAAGAGGGTGGCTAAGGAGAAGATAGGTTCATTCAAGGACAAAGGAGGGAATTTATTTGTGGAGAGATAGTAGGAACTGCCGATGCTGGAGAATCTGAGATAACGTGGTCTAGAGTTGGATGAACACAGCAGGCAAAATTTATTTGTGAAGCTGGAGGAAGTGGATGAGGTCCTTAATGAATATTTTGCATTGGCATTCACAAAGGAGAGGGAAATCGTAGATGGTGAGTCTTGGAAGTGGGGTCTTAATATTCTAGGATATGTTGATTTAAAAAAGGTGTTGGGTATTTTGAAAAGCATTGAGGTAGGCCAGTCACCAGGACCAGATGGGATCTATTCAAGAATGCTGAGGGAGGCAGATGAGGAAATTGCTGGGGCCTCATACAAAATCTTTGTATGCTCTTTACAGGAGTCACAGGCAAGGTCCCAGAGGACTGGAGAATAGCCAATGTTGTTCCTTTGTTTAAGAATGGCAACAGTGATAATCCGGGAAATTACAGGCCTGTGATCCCTACATCAGCGGTAGACAAACTATTGGAGAAAATTCTTAGGGATAGCATTTACTCACATTTGGAAAAGTACGGACTTACTGGCGACAGGTAGCATGCATTTGTGTGGGAAACTTGATTGAGCTTTTTGAGGAAATGACAAAGATGATTGAGGACAAGGTGGTCGATGTTATCCAATGGACTTTTGCAAGGCCTTTGACAAGGTCTCTCATGGCAGGCTGATACAAAGGGTGAAGTGACATGGGATCTGCAGTGAGCTGGTAAAGTAGATACAGAACTGACTCGGTTGTAGGAGACAGAGTAATGGTGGAAGAGTGTCTTTCTGACTGGAGATCTGTGACGATTGGTGTTCTGCAGGGATCAGTGCTGGAACCCCTGTTGTTTGTAATATACATAAATGATTTGGAGGAGAATATAGGTGGTCTGATTAGTACGTTTGTGGACAACATAAAGACTGGGGGAGCTGTGGATAGTAAGGAGGATTGCCAGACGATACAGCAGGATATAGATAGGCTGGAGACTTGGCAGATGGAGTTTAATCCAGACAAATGCAAGGTGATGCATTTTGGAAGATTGAATGCAGGAAGGAAGTACACAGTAAATTGCAGAACCCACAGTAGCATCAACATACAGAGGATATCTAGGTGTACAGGTCCACAGTTCCCTGAAAGTGGCAACACAAGTGGATAAGGTGGTCACGCAGGCATATGGCAAGGTAAGAATTTGGAGGGGTATAAAAATTTGCAAGTAATGTTGCAACTGTACAGAACTTTAGGCTATATTTGGAATATTGCGTATGCTCTGGTTACCAGAAGGAGGATTTGAGTTATAAGGAGAGGCTGGATAGGCTGGGACTTTTTTCCCTAGAGCGTAGGAGTTGAGAGGTGACCTTACAGAGGTTTATAAGATAATGAGGGGCATAGATAAAGTGAATAGCAAAGCCTTTTCCCTACGGTTGGGGAGCTCAAAACTAGAGGGCATATGTATAAGATGAGAGGGGAAAGATTCAAAAGGGACCTGAGGGGCACCTTTTCCATGCAGAGGGTGGTGTGTATATGGAATGAACTGCCAGAGGAAGTGGTAGATGCAGGTACAGTTACAAAATTTGAAAGGCATTTGGACAGGTACATGAAAAGGGAAGGTTTAGAGGGATATGGGCCAACCGCAGCCAGGTGGGACTAGTTTACCTTGAGAAATCTGACTGATGTGGATCAGTGGACAAAGGGTTTGCTTTCATGCTGTGTATGGTTTGGAGGGATATTAGCTATGAAGAGAGATTGGACAAACTCTGTTTATTTTCACTTTGAATGTGAAGGATGAGGGGTGACATGATAGAAGTTTGCAAAATTATGACAGGCATGGTTAGAATAGATAGCCACAGTTTTATTCTCGGGGTTGAAATGTCAGTTAGAATGAGTCATAGGCTTAAGGTAAAAGGGAGTAAGTTGAAAGGAGATGTGAGTGGCAAATTTTTGTTACATAATGCCTGCAATGTGCTGTCAGAGGAAATAGTGAAGGTAGATACAATAACAATGTTTAAGAGGCATCTTGACAAATACATGAAAGGCAGAGAATAGAGGGATACCAATCACGTAGAGGCAAAAGGTTTTACTTTAGAAAGACATCATTTGTCAGTCCATTCTTGGTTGGCTGAAGAGCCTGTTCCTATGCTGTACTAATTTTTGTTCTAGAAGGAGCCCGCTCGATCCATTGTGTCTGTACTGGCTCTTGAAAAAACGATCCAGCTAGTCCCATTCTCCAGTTCTATCTCCGTAGAGCTCTAAATTAATCACTTTCAAATACATAACCAGCTCTCTTTTGGAACCTCCAAAGGAATCTGCCTCCACCACACTCCCAGGCAGTGCATTTCTTATCCTAATAACTGAGTAAAGAAGTTTCTTCTCATCTCACTCCCAGCTTTCTTGCTGACAGTTTTGAGATTGTAACCCCGAGTTACTGACAAACAGCTAGTGGAAACAGAATATGCTTCTTTACCATGTCAAAGTTGTTCATAATTTTGAACGCACACTGTAAGGTCACCTTTTAATCTTCTCTTCTCCAAGGAGAATAAACCCAATTTCTGTAATCTTTCCTTGTGTCTAAAATCCCTCATTCCTGGTATTATTCTAGTCAATCTCTTTTGCACTTTCTTCGGGGCTTTAACATCCTTCCCTAAATAAGATGCCCTGAACTGAACGCAATACTCCAAATGTGGTCTGACCAATGATTTGTAGAGATGTTGTATCATTTCCTTGCTTTTACAGTCAATGCCTCTATTTATAAATCCAAGGATCCTATAATCCTTAACAACTGTTTTATCTTGCCTGGCCACCTGCAGAGAATGAAGCACATAACCTGAGGTCCCTCTGCTTCTGTACTCCCCTCAAAGCTGTACCACTGAGCCTGTATTGTCTCTTCGTGTTTCTTCTACCAAAATACATTACCACACATTTCTCTGCATTGAAATTCCTGTGCTAGCTGTCTGCCCATTTGGCCAATTTTTCAATATCCCTCTATAGTTGCTCAGCATTGTTCTCACAATTCACTATTCTCCCTAGTTCAGTATCATCTGCAAATGTAGGAATTTTGCCCTCATCACCCATCTCCAAAACTCCATTTATCGACATTGTTGCAAATGGTCCTGATGACTACAGGACAAAAAGCTTTGACAAAAAGTTTGTTTTCTCTGGTAATATGCTGTAGTACGAAGCAACTCTTTGAACATACGTTTGTTGTGTGATTGCTCAGCATTATGTCTTTGCCAAATGGCACTTAAGTAAATAAGTAAGAAAGATAGAGGTCAAATAATTTTGAGCAAGTAAAGTAGAAAGTAATGATTGTGCCCTGATGAAGGGTGTAAACCCAAAACGTCGACTTTCCTGCTCCTCTGATGCTGCCTGACCTGCTGTGCTCCTCCAGCACCCACACCGTATTGATTGTGTCAGCCACTGATGCATTCTAATTTTCAAACAAACTGGTGTCTGCAAAATGAATGATAATGTTGCACTTCATTTTAGACAACTGGTGGATGGGAAAATAAATGTAATGTCAGGGTTCTTCCCTGGTGTGAAGTTAGAAGAACTATTTAGTTGCTGCTACATGTGAGGGAGGAGGGAGCATGGATGAAATGCTTGTAACACAAATCTGACCCTTTGTTTCCATCAATTTATTGGCTACTCCTCTCCAATTTCAGCTCTTGCAAAGGTGTCTCTTGCCTGTTAGCATTCAGATCTGCAGGTAACCAATACTTTCCACCTATGCTGAGCGCTTGCATTTTCAGGTGGACACCCAATAAGCAGGGTTGGGGGTGGCCATTGTACAGGAATAAAGAGATATGTTCATGACTGATTTTCACGCCACTCCTGCTTGCTTTCCATTATATATTCTTACAAGTTGTGGGACTCCTGTCACGGTTTCAATTAGGATCAGTTTTCACAGTGCAGTATTATCCAGGCATTGGCTTGTGTAGCTCTGTTACCCACCGTGTTCATGAGCCAGGTTACAATTCCGTGTTTGAAACAATGTCAGCAGAATGTGTGTAGCTTGTATCGTCAGCTGTTTAGCTCATTTCCTGACTCTCCTATCCCTGCAGTGACAAGAAAGCCAGACATTTCTACTATTGCCAACTGAAAGAGCAAGTTTTAAATTCACGGTGCACAAGTAAAGAGGAAGTCTACTTTCTGTTGACAGCATATGCTCTGCAGGCTGATCTGGGCAACTACAGAAAGCGTGTGCACACCGGAAAATATTTTGAGCCTCAGCATTACTTCCCTCAATGGGTAAGGTTAATTTTTTTTGATTTTGGTTTGTTACTTTAACTCATTATTTTCATTATTGTGGGGTGCAGTTACAACATTTTTAACATGTTATTGACTGGGAGAAAATATTCTTTTGAGATACACCTGTTGGCTGCCTTTTCCTAGCGTCTGAAGATGTCTTGGATGTTGCACAGTTGGTATTTGGACCAGGCAGCATTATATTGCAAACCCAATGAAAGTGAGAACAAGTATAATAGCTCAGATTATTGTGGTTGGTTGGCTCGTCGAGCTGGTTCGTTGTTCCGCAGACGTTTCATTACCCTGCTGGGTAATATCATCAGTGCAGCCTCCGATGAAACACTGTTGTGTTTTCCCGCCTGTTATTTAAACTCTGGTGTCCGTTGAGCTGGATTACCTCACTTCCAGTTTTCCTTCACAATGGAGTGTATATGGGGTCTAACTCTGTGTTTATTGATGGCTTTCTTAGTGGAGTACCAGGCTTCTAGGAATTCCCGTGCTTGTCTCTGCTTTCCCTGTCCGAGGATCCTGGGACAAATCTACTCTAAAATCTTAGTGCAGTTTATATATTCTTAGCTAAAATACTTGTAGTGTATATAAAACAAAGAATCACACCAAACAGCTTGCTTCTATAAACTGGTAGCTTACTAACTTGTGTTCAGTTTATAAATTTTTCAAGCCATATTCTACCCACACCAAAAAAAATTCAGGTTTCCTTGTCATTCATTAGTCTCATAGTTTTAAGATTGTAGCTCAAGAAAACAAATTGCATATTCTTCCGATTAAATCAAGAAGTAAGCCATGTCTGGCACAAAGAACATATTTTCAGTTCAGAAGAAATATCAGCTTGTACAAATATGCACTGTGTAATTATGTAGAATAACATAAAATTGACGGCACAGTAACAGTACATTTGGCCCAACCTACCGGTGCTTATGCTTCACTTTAAGCCTCCTCCTATCCTGTCTCATCTAAGTCCAACCCTCTGTTCTCCTTCTCCATAATGTTTGTGTCTAGTTTCCACTGTGCTACTCACATGAACTGCATCCCTGTGGTAGCAAATGCCAATTTCTTGCCACTCTCTGGCTAAATGAGGGTTTTCTGATTTGTTATTTGATTTCTTCGTGGCTACCTGATATTGTTGGCCCCTGTCATCAAAAATATACAATCCACTGCACATAGAAACGTAGAAAATAGAAGCAGGTGTAGGCCATTCTGGCCTTCAGTTCTGTTTAGCCATTCAGTATGATCACGGTTGATCATCCAATTCAGAACCCTGTCCCTGACCCAGAACCACACACTGTGATTCTTTCAAACATAACAACTATAGCTAATTCCTTGAAAACACCACAACCTTTCATAAAGTTAGCAACCTCAGAGATAATTTATCCAATGTTTCATAAAACACAGTTTTAAAAATTACACAAAATATCACTCCCCCACGACACATGCCAGCGGAGCAAGAACATTCTGACGCATATCCTTTGTGTCATGCAAACAAAAGAAAATTGCTACCTACTCACTGGTACATGACATAAAATTAAATGAAGCTTTTATTGAAAAAGAGTGTAATGAATATTTCAAGGTGAAAGATACATTGAAGGGAACTGTTGAGTGTAACGGGTTGTTTTGCCTTAGACCAGAATTGCAAGAAATTTTACACAGTTTTCCCCTAAGGATTTGTTTAAAAAAAATCTTTCCTCACCAGCACTGGTGAATATTCGTTCTTAAGTTAACAGAATGTAGCAATGGGTCAGTGATGAGAAGGCTGGTCTTTCAGCCTGGACTGGGGACTTTTGTGCACAGCACAATGGAGATGATCTCATTGAAACTTACAAATACCTAGAAGAATGGACGGGGTATATGCAGGTAAGATGTTTCCCCAAATTGTTGGAGTTTAAAACCAGGGGGCCCAACTTAAAAATAAGGGAGGGTTGCCACTTAGGTCTGAGCTGTGGAGAATTTTTCTTTTACTCAAAGGGTTGAGAACCTTTGGAATTCTCTACCTCAGAGAACTAAGGAAGCTCAGTTTTGACTATGTTTAAGCTGGAAATTAATAGATTTCTGATTACTAATGGTATACAGGGTTATTGAGATGGGTGAGTAAAAAGCATTGATGTGTTGAATCAACTACGATCATATTCAGTAGTAGAGTAGGTACAATGGGCTGAATGCCTAATCCTGTTCTTGTGTTCCTATGGACACCACCCTGTTTGAAACATTCCAGCTCTCCTCCTGGAAACTCTTCAGCCCTGCCATCACCACAACCATCCCTAAGTTAACGCAAAGACCATGTCTGTCCTGGCCCCCTGAGGACGGGTAGTCAGTGACTAAATTTAACAAGGTGTCAGAACAACCTTTAGAGTGGTTCCCAGAACTGCCTGGAGAGTGGCTGGCCTCATTTTTGTAGGTAATACCCAAAAATGATGGCAACAGTGAATGGGCAGGAACACCTGAGAACAACAGCTAAGCTAGGAGAGGAGCAGGAACTTCCTTTTTGGGCCATGTGTGGAAAGGGGCAGTGGTAACATGATAAACAGGGGAAGCAGAACAAGTATCATTTTACTGATTTCAAACTTCCTCTACAAAGCATCCAGAGACAAAATTATCTATTCCCATGGAATTTTTGATGTTCTGAAAGTATATCTGATGCAGATTTAGTGGAAAATCTGCAGAATAAACCAGTAACACAATTTTGTTCTAAAAACAGACTAGATAGACCAAGAAAGTATCAGTCAATAGCCAAGTTGCTTTCATATCTGTCGCAAGAAAAAAAAATTTTCAACACCTTTCAGTTTTGAAAATGTCATACTGGACTCAAAACATTAACTCTGCTTCTCTCTCCTTATGTACTGCCAGACCTGCTGAGTTTTTCCAGCATTCTCTCTCCTTGTTTCGGATTTCCAGCTTCCGCACTATTTTGCTTCTATTGGTTTCATATCTGTTTGTGAGTGAATTAAAGATGCAACTATTTGGCATTGACTTTGGACATTCCATTGTGGTCATATAGAATGGTGTTTTAAAAAGCAGTTCCCCACAAACCTGTTTTCCCTCCCTGTTTCAAAGCGGAACTGTTTTGTTCACACTCAGAATATGACCAGGCAATGAATGGTATTTTTTTTTAGTTCCAACAATGCCTAGTGACATTCTCCAGGTTTGATGTCATAAAAAAAGGGAGTTATACTGGGCCTGAGTCAGAGTTCAATCCTGAAAATGCAGACATTGCTAAGTTTTATGTGAGTTTTGTTTCTGGTGTAGGGCGGATGTAGATCTAATTGAACACTTGGGTGACATTGCCACTGGTTAAAAGAATGTTAGAAAGGTAAACCCAGCAATTACAGCCTTAACATCAGTGATGAGGGAATATCTGGTGTATCATACAAATTAATGTGTTAATGATGAAGTATATACATGATGAAGCACCTCTGACATCAACAGTCACATGTGAAGAAAAGAGGAATGCAAGAGCTATACCAGAGAGCTGAGATCAGTATTCTGTATGAGAAAGAGTTTACTGAGAATGAGAAAGAGTTACTCTGAGATGAAGTAAAGATGTAGATTCCCTGGAATGCACAGCAAGACAATTATCAACTTCACCTTGAGGACTCTCAACTTGGTGAAAGCTGCCCTTTGGTCTGCCTGAAACTTGTTGGTTTTCCAGAACAAGACATTGACTCCAACTGAATGTTGCAGACTGGTACATTCCAAGATCCAGGACTACATGCTGAGGGACACACTAAAGCTTGGGACAGCAGCTGTCAAAGTGCAGTGGAGAAAGACCACTGTCTGACGTCTTCCTGTTGAAGTTAAATGGGGGTCCGTTCAGTTATCGGACCCCCGGCTCCTCAAATGCACGTAAATATAGTCTTGTAAAAGCAAGAAATGCCTTGAGTTTGTTTGGAAAGTTAAACTCTCATGTTTGTTTGTTTCCTTGATATGCTACTGTACAGAACCAAAGTGCATTTGTGACTGTGTGGAGATAGATATTTTTATGAATAAGGTATAGTTTAAATAAAAAGATATAGATACAGCAGACTCGCAGTAGGAAGCATCTAGCTGAGTTGAGCAGCCTCCTAAGTGCAGTACAGACACTCAATGCCCAGACAGCAGGCAGGCTCCAGGCTGGAAATAGCGGAGACCATTGCTTTAATCACAGAGCAATTTATCAAGACAATAATCCAGCAAAAGATTATTTTGGCATATGGAAAATTATTGATAATAAATAAAAAAGAGTGGCTTTGTTCAAGATAAATCTTGTTTGACTAATTTAAGTTCTTTAAATGCAGGGGCTGTTGAAGGTTGATGAAGGTAGTTGGTTGTGATTAATGCTGTGTATATGGAATTTCAAAAAGATTTTTGACATATTGCTATTGCACATCATGTCGTACAATGATCCAAAAGTGAGAGTAATGGTGACATGTTGTTCATCAGAGTGGAGGGAAGTGTTCAGTGATGTTCCCAAGTAGTCAGTATTGGGACCACTGCTGATTTTGATATACTTTAATAATCTAAACTTCGGTATGCAGAATGTAATTGCAATATTCGCAGATGCTGTGAATTATGTTTTGGAATTCCACATGGAGCACTTTTAAAGGCAAGTCTTACACCACAGTGGAGTTGCATTCCACAGGCATTAAACTTGAGATTTGAGAGCCCCTCCTCCAGGTGCTTCCATCACGTTGAGCTCCAACATTGGGGAAAACCTTACTCCAGTGTTGTACTCCATCTGTAATGTTGCTGTGAAATAGAAACAATTTGGAATTCTAGAGTCTTTTCTTTAAATAAATGTTTTCCCATACTCTCCTATCATCCTATGTAATAAAAAAAAATTCTATCATTAGCTGGTGACTTTGAACAGCATGATAGCAGAATAAAATCTTTTGAAGTGGTGAATTACAAAGGGATTTATTATCTGGACACGATGGGGCAAGAAATGTAGACCCATTTAATCTAACATGATTTTTGTGATGCTTTTAATGTATCTATTAGTGATAGACCAGAAAATGGCCAAATGTCATTGTTGTCTTGTTAGCTTGAAATGTTCTCTCCAAATTGTGGGGGGGGGTGAAAGAAAACATTTATAATTACACTGCTGAACAAAATTACAGTTGAATGCTTGATTGCATTTTGCTTTTCACAGCTTGAGCTGCACTCAGAGAGGGAAAGGATGGCAGTACTCAATTTGGCAGCACCAGAATTAGTTTAATGAGCTCCATAATTATTAGTCATTCCATTTTAGTTTTTCCCAACTTTTGCAAATAAATATTTAAAATAATCTGTTTCATTAAAAGAAGTAAATAAAAACTATTAGTTCATGTGCTTAACTGGATATAACTAAGAATGATGATTGTTTTGATCTGTAGAGATGAAGCATTGCAGTGTTGGCAATGAAAGATGACAGACATATTTTCCGGCCCACATGACTATATTAATTATGACACTTAGAGCTTTAACAAAAAATTGGAATAATATTTGCTTTGTTGTACATAGGTAATTAACAAAAGGGGCTGTGACTACATTTTGAAGCACATTCCAGAAATGCACAGAGAGCACCGTGGCCTGTCTCAGAAAGAGGGGTTGCTGAGGTTTATTAAAGAGGCTTGCCTTTTGGAGGATGTGCCTGTTCATTATTACAGGCTCCAGAAAGTAAGAGACATTATTTTCTTTTCATTTGCTATTATTATTGTTACAAAAATGGGAGGAGAAAAAGTTGCAGATAGTGCGCACACAGTTTATTATGCAAGATTTAAAAGTAAGTCTGTTTTCCACTGGCCTTGGCTGACAGTCCAGTACTCTGGTTGGTCCTGTGTCGCCTGATGGTGAATGCAGTCTAAGAGAATTTTCTTCCATTGAGAATTATTGCATTGACTCTATTTGTTGGTGTACTGGTGTCGTGGCTATGTGTACGTGCGTGCAACACAGGTTCCAGTGTATATGTCTGTAAGTGGTAGGTTGTGAGCTAAGAGCATTTAAGTTTGTGAAGTAGCAGTGAATACCTGAGTCATTTTAATAACCTTTTGTTTGCATGGTGTCATAGTATATGAGAACTTCATTTGTCATATTAATAAAAATATACAAAATGCTACCTCTTGCAAATCAGAATGGTAATGTGAGGTAGTAGAAACGTAGAGACATAGAAGACAGGAACAGGACTAGGCCATTTTGCCCTTCGAATCTGCACCCACCATTCAACATGATCAGAGCTGATCATCCAGCTCAGTACCCTTTTCCTGCTTTCTCCCCATAACCTTTGATTCTGATAGCCCAAAAACTATATCAAACTTCTTGAAAACATTTAATGTTTTGCCCTTAACTGTTTTCAGTGATAGAGAATTCCACAGGCTCATCACTCTCTGGTGATTGCTTTGAAAATGATTGTCTTTCTGGACTAGTCATAGAGATATACAGCTCAGAAACCAACTGTTCGGTCCAACTCATCCATGCCGACCAGATATCCTAAATAAATCTGGTCCCATTTGCCAGCATTTGGCCCATATCTCTTTAAACCCTTCCTTTTCATATACCCATGCAGATGCCTTTTGATTGTTGTAATTGTACCAGCCTCCTTACCTTCCTCTGGCAGCTCATTCCATACATGATATAAGTTATGCATGATATGCATAAAAAAGTTGCCTGTTAAGTCCCTTTTAAATCTTTCCCCTCTCACCTTAAACCTATGTCATCTAGTTTTGGACTCCCCTACCCTGGGAAAAAGACCTTGTCTGTTTACCCTATCTATGCCCCTCGTGATCTTATAAACCTCTTTTATGTCACCCTTCAGCCTCCAACGCTCCAGGGAAAGTAGTCCCAGCCTATTCAGCCTCTCCTTATAGCTCAAACCCTTCAAATGCGGCAACATCATTGTAAATCTTTTCTGAACCCTTTCCAGTTTCACAAAATCCTCCCTATAGCAGGGTGACCAGCCACCTGGAAGCCTGAAGTAATGATGCAGAGAATGTGTTGAAATTCTACTATATCTAGTAAGAGAATTTGAGTCACATCTTAAAAAGTAAATCTGGAAATAAAAAGTATGTACCAGTAATTCATATTGTATGGTCAAAAAGAAAACCCTGAACTTGCTCATGCACTTTGGGAAATGAATCCTGCCATCCATACCTGGTATGTTTAGTTCACACAATTCAATCAGTTGTACCAAACTGCTGCAACATTTAAGAGAAGCTTCCAGGTGAATTATTCAATTATGGCTTAGATATAAAGAGTGTTAATTAAACAGGTGATGAAGGTGTAGGTAGTCTGTTCAATTGTATGAAGTCATTCCCAATAATATTTGGGTTTGTACCGTGACTGTGCTTGGAGTCAGCCAAGCATCTCCATTTCTGTTTAGCACGTTTTGCCTTCCTAGAAGGACAGACCAAAGGAGTTGGGCTGCTGGGATGTTCATTTGAAAGTAGAGTGACTTTGAGAATTATCAGAATTGACTGTAGACCCTATGAAGTCCCATGGCATCAAGAAACATTACTAACAAATTATCCTCCCTCAGCTGATGAAATTTCACCATTCCATGTTAAACGCTACTAAAGAAAGCACAACTGGTAGAAAGGACATTCCACATCAATCTGCCTGTTGCTAATGCATCTATCTTTGACAGCACTGAGAGGACTGATCACTGCATTGTCCTAGTGTAAACCAAATTCCATTTTAACCCTGAACATTTTGTTCATTGTGTAGTGTGACACTACCAACACCGCCTCTAAGCTGCAGGATTGTACAGTCACGCCATGGTTCCCCCGAGGTTCCATGCACACCGTTGCACTGACTCATTCACTTTCAGAAGTCACTGCTGTGCATGCACTCTTTAAAAACAAAGAGGGATTATTGGACACTATCATTGTGTAAAGCAGAGTAGGCTCAAAGTGCTAGGCAAAAGTATATACTAGTGAAAAGGAAGGGCTGTAGAAAAAGGGGTAATCAGCCATGGATGTCTAAGGAAATAAGGGAGGCTATCAAATTGAAAGATAAGGCATATGAAGTGGCAAAGACCAGTGAGAAACTAGAAGATTGGGAAAACTTTAAAGGTCAGTTGAAAGCCACACAAAAAAAAGCTATAAAGAAAAGTAAGATTATGAGAATAAACTAGCTCAGAATATAAAGAGAGGTAGCAAAAGTTTCCACAAATATATAAAACAAAAAGGAGTGGCTAATGTAAACATTTGGTCATTTAGTGGTAAGAAGGGGGATTTAGTAATGGGAAATGAGGAAATAGCTGAGGCATTGAACAGGTATTTTGTGTCGGTCTTCACAGTGGAGGACACGAATAACATGCCAGTAATTGATGACAAGGAGACTAAGGTAGGTGAGGACCTAGAAACAATCATTATCATGAAAGAGGTAGTGTTGGGCAAGCTAATGGAGCTAAAGACTGATAGGTCTCCTAGTCCCGATGGAATGCATCCCAGGGTGCTAAAAGACTTGGCAGGAGAAAAAGCAAATGCGCTTGTGGTGACTTTCCAAAGTTCGCTGGACTCTTGGGCAGTTCCAGCAGATTGGAAAACAGCAAATGTGATGCCACTGTTTAAAAAAAGTAGACAAAAGATGGTGAATTATAGGCCAGTTGGCTTAACTTCTGTTTTGGAAAATCCTTGAATCTATCATCAAGGAAGAGCTAGAAAGATACCTAGATAGAAATTGTCCCACTGGGCAGGCGCAGCATGGGTTCATGAAGGGCAGGTCATGTTTAACTAATTTACTGGAATTTCATGAAGACATTATGAGCGCGGTGGATAATGCGTGTATCTAGATTTCCAAAAGGGGTTTGACAAGGTGCCGTGCAAAAGGCTGCTGCATAAGATAAAGGTGCACGGCGTTATGGGCAACGTATTAGCATGGATGAAGGATTGGTTAACTCACAGGAAGCGATAAATATGAGTACTTTTCTGGTTGGTGATTAATGACTAGTGTGTGCCTCAGGGATCAGAGTTGGAACTGCTTCAGAGATAGTAGGAACTGCAGATACTGGAGAATCTGAGATAACAAGGTGTAGAGCTGGATGAAAACAGCCGGCCAAGCAGCATCAGAGCAGGAAGGCTGACGTTTCGGGCCTAGACCCTTCTTCAGAAATTTCTGCTGTGTTCATCCAACTCTACACCTTGTTATCTCATACATATACACAGACTGGAAATAAGAGGTGAATGAAAAAAGCTACATGTAAATAAAAGGTTATGCAGATCTTTTATATGATTATAAAAGATTATACTGAATTGTTAATGATAAGCCAATAACTTGACATAATTGGGTTGCAGCAGTAGCATGACGTTGGCAGGTGAACAGACAACTTTTGAGATTTTTGGTTTGTAGGAGTTCATATGTGCTTGTTCCTTTAAGTGGTTTGCAGTACTCAAACTGAAAGAGTGAACTGAGTACAAAAGTGATAAAGTTCAAAAGAACATAGACTGGCTGAATGGGCTGACACAGGGAAATGAAATATATTGCAGACAAACGTGAACTGATAGGTTTGGTGGGAACCGTAAGAAAAGGCAATGGTACAGTTCTGAAAGGGATGCGTGAACAGAGAGATCTCGTGGCATCACAAAATATTGAAGCTTCCAGGGCAAATTGGGAGATTGGTTGAAAAAAATGTATAGTTTTTAAAATTTGAAGCATAGGGTAGAATAGAAAGGAAGTTTTGAAGAACCTTTTTTAAGAGTACTGTTTTGACCTCAACTGAGCTGGTGTCCAATTCTCAACGCTAGGCTTTTGGAAGGATTGAAAGGCTTTAGAGTTGGTGCAGAACAGATTCACGAATACGATGTGAGACTTGAGTTGCAGAATAAATTGAGGAATAATGTTGCCCTTGGAGAAAGAGAGTTGAGGAGAAGATTCCATAGAATTTGTCGAAATCATGGGGCACTTAGATATCTGTTGAGGTTGGTTGGCTCGCCGAGCTGGTTTGTTGTTCTGCAGAC